TCCACTGTTGAACAGCTCTTACTGTCAAAACGTTTTTTCGAATGCTTAGTCAGAATTTCAATTCTTGTAACTTGAAGCCATGGGTTTGAGTCCACCTTCCATAGCAGGAGAAAAGAAGCATGCTCCCTCTACCATGTGACAGCCCTTGAGATATTTGAAGATTGCTATCATATCTCCTCTCACTCTCATCAGTTCCAGGCTAAACACACCCAGCTCCTTCAAGCACTCCTCATATGGGTTAGTTTCCAGACCCTTAATCATCTTGGTTGCCTTCATATGCACACGTTCCAGGTTTGTCAACATCTTTCTTAAAAGAGTTAAATTTAGTGTTACTGGAGCTGCTACTTTTCCACTTGCTCTGGCTTCCAATTCTTTCTTTCTCTGTCACAATCTCTTTTCTCTCTTCACACCAAAGCAAAGAGCCATAATATATTCAGTCACCCAAGCCTAAATGAAAATAATAATAGTAATGACATGTCCAGTTCAACCAAAACAACAAGGCACAAACAAAGTTTCCTCGTGGCTTGGCCAGGGTAGCTGATCAATAATCCCTGTACTAAAGGGGTGTGTGAGTGGGTGTTTGTGTGTGCAGGAGGGAGACCAGCCATGCCATTGGATGTAGTGATGTGACTGGCTCACGTAGCTGATTTGGGTTGTCATCAAAAGGTATCACATTCTTATCCCTCTTTTTACTATTGGGTGTTGACTGCCAGGGAAGGGAAAATGCATTTGTTGGATCTCAGGTGGCAAAATAACTTGACTGGCCTTGCAAGGTACTACTTCTGTGCATCTTCGTTGGGGAAGGGGCATTTGCTGCCCCTCCTCAGGCAACAACGTGCCTTGAGTCAGCCCTGTGCCCTTCTATCTAGAGAGGGAATAGTTTCGGCAGCATTTCTTCAGTTCAGATGCCAATCCCCACAAAAAAGAAAATACCCAAAGGGGCATCACATTTCCCATGCACAGATGACATCTGTGGAACCAAAACAAGCTTGTGTGGATGTGACCATATTATTCTTTACCAGCCCACCTTGTTCTGAGCCCCTTTTTCAAAATCACACAGCGGGGGGGGGGACCCCGTTCTTCAATACCTCCCATTTCCCTGTTCTCCACAGTTCATTATACAAGCTTCCTTATTCAAATATGCTCCACCTTAGAAGTAATTATGAGAGACTCCCTGAGGCTTGGATGACTGAATATATTATGGCTCTTTGCTTTGGTGTGAAGAGAGAAAAGCGAGTGTGACAGAGAAAGAGTCAGAAGCCGGACCAAGTGGGAAAGTAGCAGCTCCAGTAACACTGAATTAACTCCTTGCCCCAGAGGAAGAGGGCCTTCTAAAGCCAGAAAGAGCCTATTGATGGGGAACTCCTCAAAATGGGATATTACAATACATTATTTCCCAGCCCTGCTGGGCCAGTCACTCCAATTTCTGCCTGATCCTTTGGAGTCCAGCTCCCATGACTGAGCAGCTTCACAGTCTATATCCATGGAAGATCATAAGAAGAGCTTGCTGGTATTAGGTCAAAGTAGGCCCATCTCACACAGAATCCTGTTCTCAGAGTCACCAAAACAGTTGCCTATTGAGCACAAAAACACTCTCCCCTCCTGCAGTTTCCAGCAACTGGTATTCAGAAGCATCACTGTCTCCAAATCTGAAGATGGATAGTCATCATGGCTAGTACCATTGGTAGTCTTATCCTCCATTAATCTGCCTAATCCTCTTCTAAAGCCACCCAAATTGGGGGGAAATCACTGCCTCCTGGGGGAAGGAGTTTCATAGTTTAACTCTGTGCTATATGTAGGAGGACTTCCTTTATTCTATCCTGAACCTTCCAACATTCAACTTCATGGGATATCTAAGAGTTCCAGTGTTATGAAAGAGGGAGAAAAAACTCTCTATCCACTCTCTCCATGCCATGCCTGATTTCATAAACTTCCATCATGTAACGTCTTACTTGCCTTTGCTCTAAGCTAAAAAGTTTGTTGTTGTTGCTAGTTTCTATACCACCTTTTACCCAAGGATCACAGAGTGGTTTGGAATATAAAAACACAAAATACAAACAAAAACAATATCCCCATTTAAAAGCCCATAGTTTGTTTAAGTAGCCTAAGGCCTGGGAGAAGAGGAATGTTTTTACCTGGCACCTAAAGGTATGTAAGCAGGGCACCAGATGAGCATCCCTGGGGAGAACATTCCACAAGCAGGGATCTACTGCAGAAAAAAACTGTCCTTATCTTGCCAACCTCCAGACCTCCCATGGGGGGGACACGCAATGAAGGGCTACAAATGATGATCACAGGGTCCAGGTTGGTTCATATGGGGCAAAGTGGTCCTTGAAGTATTGTGTTTAGCGTTTTATAGATCAAAACCAGCACATTGAATTGGGCCTGGAAGCTAATTGGTAGCCAGGGCAGTTGGGCTAGGAATGGCATTATATGCTCAACCCGTCTTGCCCTGGTGAGCAACCTGGCTGCTGAACCAGCTGAAGTTTCCAAACTGTCTTCAGAGGCAGCCCCACATATAACACATTGCCAAAACATAGACCACAGAAGTTAGACTATCCTTGTCCAGATATGGGTGCAGCTGGGCCACCAGCTGATGCTGATGGAAGGCACTCTGGGCCACTGAGGCCACCTGAGCCTCAAGCAACAGCAAAGGATCCAGGAATACCCACAGCTGTAGAAAAAAACGAATGAATCTCTCTCAAAGAGATTTTTACTGCTTACATCTTACATGATCCTTTTGTAAGGAAACCAAGTTCTTTATTTTTAAGTCATGGGGGTATTCTTCTTTATTTTACTGCCAAAGGATGGAAGCTTATTTGCTGTAACTCCTGAAACTCTGTGCATAAAACACTTCACTTATTTGCAAAGCCAAGTGTCTTTATTCCAGCCATAAATATTTTCATGGGGAACATTTGTTTAAAGGTGGTTGAGGGCAGAAGCAAATCTAATCAAGTTTTAATACGTTTGGAGCAATTGCCATTCTGCTGTCTCTGTTACAAGAGAGTAAGAATCTCTCTTCCCAAACTCTCTCTTCAACATCACCCCTGTGGTATGTGGCTGTCCTGTGACTGGCTGGGCTTAGTGACCTGTCACTTAAAGTCATCTGGGCACAAAAGACCTCTTATTGATAAGAGTCCTGGTATTTTGTTGTCCCTCCTGCAGCTGACGTTGGAAGCCAAAGGTGACTTAGTATATGCCCAGTTTTAAAATTATGATTTAGCATTTTATATTCAATTTGATTGTGCACACTCATTCTCACTCTCCTTTCCCTATTTTATATAGTCTTAAATCAGTAGCTGGGACTTGGAATTCTGCTGCTTGTCTTCCTCTTCCTGAGCAGCCCACCAGAAGGGCTGTGGAAATGGCATCCCTTGTCCTAAATGGCAATATGCATGGGTTGTGGAGAGCACAAGCAGAATAGAACACTCAATTCTACCGGGCTACCATAAGAATGGTCTAGACTGACTCCATCAGGCACAAGTCTCACCAGCATAGACTGGTGGCTCTGTTTTGATCTTCCTGTGGAAGACAAATCCAGTTGCCAAGGAAGGAACAGCCACTCCCTATAGTGTCTCTCCCCTCCCCCTCCCCCGGTTCAACGTGCTTGGAGACCTCCAGACTAGCATGGTCACATTCAGAACACGAAAGGAAAACAGGGCATGGAGCCCATAAAAAGCACCTCTCCTGGCGAGGAGGGTCCCCACCCACAAAGCTTGCATCATCCTTTATTAATTGGGGAATCCCGGGAAGAACTAATTCCTCATCAGCATTTTCTGTGGTTTGGGATTTTTGGGCACAGAAGCAACTCTGTGTGCTGCTTTCTGACAATGATTTAGGCTATTTCAATTAGGCATGCAGTTGTGGGAAGAGAGGCCTCAATTCAGTCCTTAGGACTTCTGCCAGCTGTGTCCCCTCAACCTTCCAGCCATCCCTCCCTTCACATTTTCCTTCTGATAGCGAACACTTTGAATCTCCTTCTGCCCTTTTCTTCTTTGCTGCCAATGGAATAAGGATCAGCTGCAAACAGGTGGCTCTTCTAGTGGGCATGCCTGGTAGAGAAAGCGGGAGCTGCCTACCTGCCCAAGCATAAAAGGTGCTTAGCTCCCATGACAGCTTGTCCTTCATTTCCCTTGCTACCCACTTTGGGAGGGAACAGGGGTGAGGATGGCTATTTGGAGAGGCTGAGAGGACACACCAGCCGCACTGACCTGGGAAGAGCTGATACTTACACTTTGCCATCAGCAGCTGGTACATGTCCATTCACCCCCACAAAGGGACCTTGCCTGTCACGACCAGATGCAAAGGTCTGGAAGGATAAGGATTCATGCAGGATAAGGCTATCAATGACTACTAGCCATGATCACTATGTTCTACCTCCACAAATGTGGGAAAATGATGCTCCAGTCAAAATATAAAATTCCATGTTTGCTAGGTGACCAAAAGGCTAAGGCACATAGAGTTCCCTGTAAACTCTTAGAGATCAGTCTGTGAGGTCACATCCTCTGCTTGGAGAGGCAGGAAAGGTAGCAGTAGCAATATGATTCTTTTTCCTTCCTTCCTGCTCGGAGAACATTCTTTTTCTCATCATGCAACTGTAGGGATAGGATGCAGGGTCTGTGTGCTCCTAAAATCATGTATTTTGTAATCTAGGAGTATATTTTTTCGGACTTATTTCACTGCTATTTTCTGCTTGAATCAAGTCTGCAACTTTTTTGTAACTAAACAATATTTTTATATTCTAAACCAACAGATTTTTATGTTGTTATTTTGTTTAGAAGGATAAATAAAGGGGAAGATGCAGTCTGCCCAAGACATCCTGGATAATGATAGAAAGCTACACAGTCTTTTTTCCCTAGTTTCCGTGTTAATACTGCGAAGGATGGGATGTTTAACTCTGCTAAACTAGATGCTAATATTACTTAAGCATGTAAGAGGAAGGATAATTAATAAATAATTGATCCTATCCTACCTTCCAAATCCATCCCAACAGCACCTACCATGTCTGTGTCCGAGACGGGCCCAAAACTTGTTACATAAATGTTGGTCTTGACTTCAGTTACTGTATCTGGAAGAAGCAAAAAGGAAGAAAGTAATTAGGGGTGATCGCATGGTGAATGTTTCCCTCTGTAATTTCTGCCTTAGCTTTGTTTGAAATCTCTAGGCTTGCTCCTTCCCTGGATTACAGTCGAATGATCCACTTTTGTGGGGTGTGTGGGCCTCTAATCAGGGACCTCTGGCATTCATCAGGGATGACTTCCTACAAGTGCCTTTAAACAGCACATAATGCCTTCTGCAAAAATAGAGTCATTTTGAGCTTAGACTCCAGGAGCTCCACAGCGCCTTTGGAGAAGCATTTAAATGAAACACTCATTCAATTCACAAAACAGTGATTTTATTAATGCTTTGGATTTGTTTGTAAATGCAAGTAGTGGCTCTCTTCACAGGCTTCTCTCTCAGGTGAGGTGCACATATTTGCAAATCCTGATGCAATGGGCAAGTCCTCCCAACAGATGCTTTCCTCCCTCCATCCCTTCTCCTCTCCTCTGGTTGCTCTCATTCACAGAAAAGGACACCTCTAGCCCCATGGTATCTCAAGACACTAGTGAGTTTTGAAGTCTCCCGAACATCCACCCCTACAGTGAGAAATGAAGCTAGCACCACTTGATTTAAAGGCTTAGAGCTGTTTGTTGACATGGGCTAATCTGTTGCCAGGCCATAGTTCAATTGAAATAACCAAAGCCGCACAACCCTGTCAGGGCTGCCTGCCTGTCTGGAGCTGAGAGGGCTCAGACCTGGAACATCTGAGTCTGTATGGGCTGAAGTTGCACCTTCCTGGACAAGGATGACCAGCCTGCATAGTGGGTGGGGTGAGAATACTGAGCTGCCTGGACAGGTGGCACAACATGAAGATCATGAAGAAAGGGGTCTCCAGGTGCACATCCCACATAGAGCTGAGAAGGGGCCCACTGCACCACCCTTCTCTGCTCAGGGTAGACACGGATGCTTTTATGATGTCAGGGGCCATTATATCAGTGCCTAGTCTCCTCTCAAAGCTACTTGCCTGCCTAGGAATTAACTTACCCCATGCTAAGGAAAGGACAAATCAAGGCTAGGTGCAGAGGATCAAGAAGGATCAAGGCATGCAGAGCTGAAGAGCAACAAGCAGAGCTTCTGTCTGGAAGCACAACTGAATGTCAGTGCACATAGTGAGGAGGGCAAAGGAGAGCATAGAATCATAGAACTGTAGAGCTAGAAGGAACCAAAGCAACATTTAATCCAATTCACTGAAATGCAGGAATTGCAGCACAATCAAAATTGCAGCACTGTCATAATCAGGTGCTTTGGAAGACCACTGGGGACAGAGAGAGGTGGGGAACTAGTTCTGCAGATAGATCTTATGGGCCCCAGGAAGCAAATTAATGTGAACTGCAACCTCTAGTATAAGTGGAAGAACCAACACTAGACAACCAGGAACCAAATCTAAAGGAAGACTTTTTTTAAAATGTCATAGATGATTTACATATAATATGCTGTACTACCATGAGGTCAACAATGAACATGGTTTTCTTACTGCACCAGCTGCAGGAGAAATGCCAAGGGCAGAGGTGCCCCTTCTACATTGCCTTCATAGACCTGATGAAGGCCTTTGGCTTCATCAGCTGAAAAGAACTCTTCACATAAATCAGTAAGGTAGGATCCCCACCTAATCTTTGCAATGTGGTCATGTCCTTCCACAAGAAAATACACAGCATTATCCTGTACGAGGGTTCGTCCTTGGGTGCCTTCCCTATAAAGAGTGGTGTGAAACAGGGCTTTCTGACAGTAGGAGTTGTGAGTCGAGAACCCTCCACCCGCATAGGATTATAATAAGACACACAGACACATCATTTTAGGTTAATGGGCAAAATCAGGCCACAACTTTTATTGGTTACAGCAAGGTCAATATGCAAAAAGAAGCTGACCTAAGAAGGAGGGAGGGTGGGAGATCCGAAGAAAGCAGGAACAGACCGGAAGCAGAGCACTGCCATGACTGTTTAAACGTGTTTAGCCCCGCCCACCAGCCAGCCATATTGGTCGGCTGGAAGGCTTGGCCGCGGCAGCAGAAGCAATCAGGAGCAGGGAGCCGAATACGCCTACCCCCACTCAAAGCCCCACCCCTCTGTGAGGAGGAGAGGCCCTGTCCAACAGTGGAATGGACTCCCTTAGGAGGCTGTGGACTCTCCCTCCCCCTCCTTGGAGGTGTTTAAGCAGAGATTGGATGGCCATCCGTCATGGATGATTTAATTGAGATTCCTGTATTGCTGGGGGTTAGACTAGATGACCCTTGGGGTCCCTTCCAACTCTACAACTTTATAAGGTGTGTGTGTGTGTGTGTGTGTGTGTGTGTGTGAGAGAGAGAGAGAGAGAGAGAGAGAGAGAGAGAGAGAGAGAGAACAGTGCTTTTTTCTAGAAAAATAGGTGCTGGTACTCATCATGAAGTTGTTACCGAAAGTGTCACACTTTTAACCCAAAAAACCAAAGAGGTGCCAGTACTGTGTACCCTTGAGTACCTCCTGGGGGGGGGGTTAGTTAGTTAGATTGATCCAAAAAAGAAATTGTGGAAGATCCTTCCAAATCTACAATACTGTGATTTCGTGATAGGTTCCCATGAGGCCCTGGGTGCTGCTCTAGGCCACAGTTCCATAATGCCCTAGTGTGTCTCATGTATTGTCATTTGGTGGACTTGCATTTTGTCTTCTGGGAGCTCTGAGTGCTCATTTCATGAGTTCAGAGGCCAGCATCACACTCTGAGCCATTTATTCCCAGTCTAGCTGCTGCTGCTGTGGCACAGAATGCAAAGAGCACATGGGACAGACACTCTTGCCTGTAGCTGGTTTTACATCCTCATTGATCACCATTTCAGTACAAACCAGATAGGAAGTACCCAACCCACACGGATGCTAGATGTGGCAATGAGATGCTGACAGGTCAGTTGTAGCAGGTGGCACCTTGCTTCCAAGTTCCCTGAAGGACTCACCAGTGGCGGAGCTTCATGCTCCGGCATCAGGGGGCAGAGAGCAGGTGGGGCGGGGCTGGCACGCGTCCCAAGGGTGTGGCACAGTGCCCGCAGGAGCATGGCATGCATTCTGGGGGGTGTGGCACACTGCCTGCGGGGGCATGGCACCCAGCACAGGCGGGGGAGCAGCCACAATGGCACCCCACCGGGATCATGCTGCCAGGGGTGGTTCGCTCCCCCCACACTCCTCTTCCTCTGCCAGTGGGACCCACACCTTACTGCCACCTGCTACTGGAGGTGGGGAGACAGAAGCATCTTCCTGGTCTGCCTAAGCAAGTGAGCATGTGCTACAATTAAAGCTCAGTGGCGGAGCATCTGGTTTGCATGCAGAAGGTCCCAGGTTCATTCCGCAATGGCAACTCCAGGTAGGGCAAGAGGGACCCTGTCTGAAACCACAGATGTACTGGCAGTCATTGTAGACAATACTGAGCTAGATGGACCAATTGTCTGACTTGGTTCAAGGCAGCTTCCTATGACCCTGTGAGCAAGAAGCAAAATGCCAATGCCTGAACTGAAACGTCTGGTCTTGCTGCAGGAGGGCTGATCATCTCTCTCTTCTTTCATACCTTTATCTCCTTCCCCCATTCAGAGGCAGATTTTGAGCAGTGTGGCTGCTTGCACTGCACTGGGTGCCAAGCCTAGGGGATGTTGCAGGGTGTTGCAACTATGACGTACCAAATTGAGCAGAACGGAAGGCAAGGGGCAGGGGTGCTGAATTTTGGCCTCACACAGGGCACTGCTGAAATTTGAAAAGTCCACCCCTACCCCATTCAAGGGCTCTGTAGGGAGAGCAAGCCAGCAGAGAGTGTGCATGAATGTGAGTGTAAGGATGAGGCAGCCACATGAAGCAGCCTCTGTTGGATCAGAAACCGACATTTCATTATCTTAACTGTTGGGCCGAAGGACTTCAAGTAATCGGCTGGAGAGGATCCCAAGAAACCACAAATCCCCAGCAAGAGACTCCAGGGAGCCCTAGGATTAATAGCCCCTCCCAAGAAGGAGTTGCTTCTGCCAAACTGGGGGTGGGGGGGTGGGGGGGGTTCCCTTATGCAAGCATTCCAAGGAGGATGTGGGGCAGGCAGCTTTAAGTGGAAATGCAGTTAGATTGGAGGGATGGTCCATATATTGTTTGTTTGTTTGTTTGTTTGTTTGTTTGTTTGTTTGTTTGTTTGTTTGTTTGTTTGTTTGTACCCCCCACACTTTCCCCCTGCTGTGATATCAGGAAATGCCATCAAACTTGCACAGACAATTAGCTGAAGTAGACTGACCTCCAAGCCCAGGTCTCAGTCGGTTGTCATATCCATCCAGCAGCCGGTCCAGGATGCGTGTGAAGATGGTGATGTTGTCTTTGTTGTCATCATCGATAATATCTGGGCCATGCTTTTGAGCGAGTCTGCCATTTCAAGGGAGAACAGGAGGGTTAAGGTCTGTCACTTCTCCAATGATGCTCTGTGTGTGCTCACATACAAAAACACACACACAAAATCCCATCCCTGGCTTGCACTGATTTTAGGCCTTCTCTAGATTTTTCTGCTTTTACCTTTAATGGACCTGGCCCTGCCTCCACATGTCCTTATGTTAACTCCAACTGGACACAGAGTAGCTGTTAGTCACGAGAGGCCCCTCCAGGCATCCTTTTTAATTGCACATTCACACTGCTTCACATTCCAGTCAGTGCCTTTCCCATAACTGAAACCTTGTAACTTTTTTTACACCACAAATGCTCTGGTTTATTTCCCTCTCGCTTTTCTTGCTCTATAGCCCCTCTGGACACCAATAATGTGTTAGCACCAAGCAAGCATTGCAGAGCAACTGATAAGGCGGAATAAATTCGCCACTAATGTGCCAAGAGCATGTGGCAGAGACCATACCTATGGCAACAAAACAGTAGCCTTGAGGGGCCCAAGGTTAGAGGTTGCTTTGGGAAGGCATAGTGAATCAGTCTAAGGCCACCTCACAAGATGGGGCAGCTGTTACTCCTTCCTCCACGCCTTCCATTTTTCTCTGGGTTGGCTATTTGGAGGGAGAGAAGCACATGGGTAACCATAACCACCACCACTTTTCATTAATTCACTTGGATCAGGGGTCAGCAACCTTTTTCAGCCATGGACCAGTCCACCATCCCTCAGACCATGTGGTGGACTGGACTACATTTTGAAGAAAAAAACTGATTGAATTCCTATGCCCCGCAAATAACCCAGAGATGCATTTTAAATAAAAGGACACATTCTACTCATGTAAAAACACACTGATTCCCGGAATGTCCATGGGCCAGATTGAGAAGGCTATTGGGCCACATCCAGCCCACAGGCCTTAGGTTGCCTACCCCGATTTTGATGTTAGATCTGTCAACCAACCACTTTGTCAAATGATTGCCTTCAACTATTTTCTGACTGTTATTTACTTAGTGTAGACCCATTGAAATGAATGAGCATAACTGAGTTGGGTCCATTGATTTTAGCAGGTCAATTCCGAATAAAACTTAGTTGAATACCACCCTGTGTTTACACCTGATTGGTGGCTAATCTATCATTTGCAATAAATGGCAGTGGCAATTGCCTGTCCTGCATGGACTGGCAAAGAACAACTGAGGCTTCCAAGGGCAAACTGTGCCTTTAATCAAAAGCTTCCTATTTCCAGAATTTTATTGCTTGCTGCTCAGTGTTACTAGGAGATTTGTGATAAATGGGAAGGAAAAGCAGATGAAATCATTGCTACCAGGCTATGAGCTGTAGCTGCCAAGTCTTTGCTATGCTGGGCCAGCTGGGAAGAGGATTGGGTTTACTACAAAAGTGCTGACATAACCGTAACTCTTGCAGTTGTGTCTTGAGCAATGCTAATGTGTCCCATCACTCTTGGATGCCTCTGCTTGCTCCAAGCGTGCAGGTAGAGAGAGGCAGGAAGGTGCAGAGTGTTGCATTTATGCTGGAATCTTCTCTAGGCAGAAGAGGATGCCCAAACCTGTTTGTTCACACAGGAGAAGAGTGCTTGTCACACTCATTTCTTGCCTTGGCCTGCAGCCTCCTCACATGCTCATCTTTCTGTCTTGTCCCCCACCCCCATCCATGCATGTGGATTTTCATTTATTTATTTGTCATACTTGCTCTTCCCCAGAGATAGGAGTGGCACCCTTTTTACATATTTACATTACAGAAGTCTCACTGAGAATTGTTAAGTTGCATTTCTTACTGTGTTAAAATGCCATCATCACACAAACTGATTACAAATTAGCAAACCATCAAATCAACAAACAGGTGGGAAATGATAACCTAAGAATTCTGTGTACATTGCTTACCACGACAGTAGAAAGGACTATGCCTCCCAAGAGCAGCTGCCAGACAAAACTAGCTCACCTGAGCTCATGGGCAAGTACAACTTGTACTATCTATTTGTATTTGGGTGTATGTGTGCGTGTGTGTTTGAAGGAGTTCTGTTCCAGCACATCATGAGCTGGTTTTATTATTTGCAACCCAACTTGGATCTGTTCTCTTAGACAAAAGTATCACAAAAATGTACTCAAGAAATAACGTTTGTGCTACCATCTTCATGAAGGCACCGGTAGCATGGGAACACTGTTTAATCATTTTATTTAATATATAAGTGGTTTACTAGAAAAATGAAAAGCAGCAATAAAAACAGTTTAAAACATTTAAAGATATTTAAAATTAGCAGTAAAAAAATATTTTAAAAGGTCAACATCTACATGCTTTAAGCAGATGCTGAAGAGAGCACAGAGAAGGTGTCCAATGCATTGAGTTGGAGGTGCTGGTGTGTGAGCTGTTTTTTTGTTTTGTTTTTGGTTTTTGGTTTTTTTGCTGAATGAGATACAAAGCTAAAATTCTTGTGAATGAGGTACCATACAGTCTTCTCTGGCCTGGCACCATCCAGGGGTCCATGATGGCTGGGGCTGTTGGCAGCTGGAAGACATCAGGTTGGGGGTGGGGAAGACTGTTGTCCTAGGCACTCTAGGCCAGAACTACCACTCCTCAAAGGGTCTCCCAATGTCATCACTTAGACAGGAATAGAAAGCTTCTGCCTCCCCCTTAAAAGGAGGGGGGAGGGGAGGGAAGTCAGGTAAACACTCTCTGGGGAGGTCTCCCAAAATGGGAGGAAAGGGGCACTTGCAACTCCAGGTGATTCAAACCACTGCTCTCCGTCTCTATGGTTGCCAGCTGCTTTTTGTTTGCTCCTTGGAGCTTTCCAGGTACCTGGTTAGTCAGTTGCCTGCAGCTGCCTGCTGTGTATGCAGGATTCCACTTTGGACCCTGGCACTTCAACTGCCTCTGGAAAAGTCCTCACCATTCTGGCATGGGGAAGATCACCTTGGCAAATTACTCAGATCAACCATTCTCTAGCACAGTCAGGAGAAAAGCTGGCATGGAGAGTGGCTGTGTGGGGCAAAATGGGATTATTGTTAGATGCCTTTGCTGCAGGTCCAAGCTGGGGATTTTCCTGGTTCCAAAGAGCCATGACCAAGTCTTAGAGAGACAGAAGGTGAAACCTAACCAGGGTCCCAAAGCCTGCCTTACAGCCTCCCTCACTGCAATTGGGTGTTGCAGGTACAGTGAGGGAGAAGGAGCCCCAGACCCTTCCTCACTCCCTCTGCACTATATAATAAAATCCCAGCCTCTTGCCACCTTACCCTTCTGCAGGGAGAGCATAAACCAGCAGCAGAATGCCAAGGCTAGTCACACAGAGCGGAGGTATGGCCCAGACCCTTGTCAATGCCATCACTTCAGGGTGCAGCAATGCTAGCCAGCAGAACGTCCACACCTGCCAAGGAGGAAGAGAAAAGAAAATGGTCAAGGGGACCAGCCACTCTCTTTGATGATGGAGGCGTTGGGTGCACAAAGGCCAGCTTGTGGTGAAAGTCCCTGAGGTGCTTTATGGGCCTCTGACTAAACAGCTGATAGCTGCAGCAGGCTCAGAACATCAAGGGGAAAGGAAAGCACCAAGAGGTGATGGACCCAACTGGGGCTTAGCCTAGCCAAGCTAGTTTCACCATGGCCACCTGTGGTAGGAACTGTGGCTTACTAATCTCAGCCAACTGGAGCCTCTGTAGAAAACGTGCCTGCCTTTTTTGGTCTAGATCAGGAAATGAAAGAGGTCTTTCCTTAAACAATATCTGTGACATCTCATCCTACAAAATGACATGACTCAGGCATCTCAGTAACCACAGAGGTTTTGAAATGCCACACAAGCAAATGCATGTATTTATAAGAGCAAAGGCCACATCTCATCAGGACGATGATCCCAATACTTCTAGCACACTGTCACTGCATTCTCCCGGTAGGAGTCTGCATAACATGCACAACCCAAGTGGTGAGTGCACACCGAAGCTCCTCACAACCAGGCAAATTCTGGCCCTTCCTTTCCTTGTGAGATCATTTCAGTCAAGGGCTCACAGTCAGTGGCTCTAGTCCATTTCTGCTGTTGCTCTCCTGGTCAGTGAAAATAGTCAGCATGCCATATGAGAAGATATGTGGTTTTCCTGGTAGTAGTGACAGCAACCACTATGAGGAAGGAACAAAGGTGAGAGAGGGAGGGATCTGGGCTGCCATGGTAGATGGTCACAGTTTGGTTTTGGTAAGAAGTGTTGGGTTTTGAAGATTTTTATTTCCTGTATGTGTAAACATGCAGCTGGTGAAAAGGCCACAATTCATATTGTGCTGGTAAACATTTTGCTACTGGGCTGCACCAGGCCATGTGGCATGACTTTGCCATATACTGCAGCATTTGCAAGACTGCTTTGCCCAGGGGTCGGGGGGGCCACTTGTCCATTTCTCCCCAAAAGAGGAAATGCACCACCACCACCATCATAAAAAGAGGATTCCTTCCAGTAGCACCTTAAAGACCAACTAAGTTAGTTCTTGGTATGAGCTTTCGTGTGCATGCACACTTCTTCAGATACTGAAGAAGTGTGCATGCACACGAAAGCTCATACCAAGAACTAACTTAGTTGGTCTTTAAGGTGCTACTGGAAGGATTTTTTTGTTTTGACTATGGCAGACCAACACGGCTACCTATCTGTAATAAAAAGAGGATATAAATGTGCAGATGCAAATTTAGAAATATTTCATTACTGTAATTTAAATAGAAATTCAATACATCCAGGGAACTGTGTGACTGCTCAGTCTGTGGTCTAGGTGTTCCCAATCAACTGGCACTATGGAATCAATCTGCAGTTTCTGCCTGCATCTGTCTGTGGTGATGAATGAAGGCAGTGGGATGTGCAGTTGCTGTGTGGAATAGGGCAAGTGGGGAGGAAAGTGAGGGAGAAGCTGCTGGGTGAGGTGCAAAGTGGAAGACAAGTTGTGAAGGTTTTGATGGACTGAACCAACTGAAATAGGGGGGAGTGGGAGCAGAAGTAGGATAATGTGACTAGTAAATTATGAATGCAACCTTCCAATAGTAAATTAACCAGCTAAAGTATTTGATGGGGACCAGTATTAATGGATAGAAGCACACTGGTAAGACTGAGACTAAACATCAACACTTACTTTATTTTTTAAAACCATTTTGGCTCATTTGAATTTCTCCTTTAGGAAATATTGAGGAAGAAATTCCCTTCTACTAATGAGTAGTTCTTTTTAAAAATAAAATGAAGAGTAAGCTCTCTTTAAGTGCAGGGTGGTATTTTGGTTTGTAAAGGGGAGATCCAGCCAAGTTAAGCCTGTTTTGTGGGGTCTGCAAGCAAAATGTAGACAAGAACAGGGCTAGTAAACGAAGAGTTCTTGAACTTCCTAGAGAGGACCCTTTGTGTGTGGTCACTTGCTTTGTATTTCCTTTGTATTTCCTTCTGCCTGTGAAGAGACTCTTTTTTTCCACCATGCCTCTGAGCTGACCATACCTTTGGTTATCACTAAAGCAAAAAATTGGGATTTTTGTGCCTCATTTTAAAAATTTGCATTTTTAAAGTGATTAAGTTAATTTAAAATAACAATATGTTTGGTTAAGTTTTATTTTCTTTCGTTTGATGAATTTAAATATTGTCCTTTATGATTTAGTCAGCGAGTATTCAACAAATATTCACCTTTTTAAATAAAATCCCCTGGGTACACACCATAATGAAATGTGTGTCTCAGGCTTGTGTCCAGCTAACCAAACTCCCTGAAACGCTTGCGGGTGCCAGTGAGACATTGTCTGTGTATAAATATCTAAAAGGCCACCTCCTTCCCTACAGACTCTCTTGGGTGCTAAAACTGGCAGGGGAGTGGCCCTCTTGGTTCCTCCATTGCCGCCAGAAACTTGTGTTGTGTGTGTAGCCTGGAGAGAGAGCCTTCTCTGCAGCAGCCCCTAAGTTGTGGAACTCCCTCCCCACAGAGGTGTATCTGGCAGCTTCATTGTACAGCTGTAGAGAGTGCTGCAGATGCATCTCTTAAACTCTGTCCGAAGCTTTGCTGCTGTTTTGTATGTTTGGGTTATACAGTCATCCTCAATTGTGCTTCCCTATCATCATCCCTCATTATATGCCTTGGGAACTTGTTGAAATACTGGGTATAAATCAAATACAGTAAATAAACTGCTTTTGTGGCATTTCGGTTGATCCCTTTGGGATTTTTTTTTCTTTTTTCTTTTTTCTTTTTGTGTGTGTGTGCAAAATTTTTAGTAAGCCGAACGTCAAACTATCCAAGCAGTGTCCCAAAAAAAGAGGAAGAGGATAATACATCATATGAAACAGCAGTGCATCATAAAAGCAAATTTTAGATGTATTCACAACACTGGTTGCAGGCAGATTAACAACAATAAACCAGTAAAGCCTGTGTTTCACTATGCCCCCCCCCGCACATGTCCCATTAGAGCCCTTGCAAATCTGTGGCAATACGAAAACATAGTTCTCTCTGTGCTCCACAATTCATTACTGAGATGGTTTGGGGATCAGCTGAAAGGAGGCATTTGAGTTTGCAAAAAACCAACATCAACACTGAGATCCTAGAAGGGAAAGGACTGGGGAAATTAAATGTGGCCACTTTCTCCCACCCATCCACCCAAGCTCAATTGTTCTTAGGTGGAAGAAGTGATGTCCCTAAGCAAGAAGGACCAGCAGCTCCTCCCAAGACAAACTGGGGAAGCCATGACTGCTTTTTGGAAGAAGTAAAAGGGACAGAGTACGTCACCCATGATTGAGTGCACCCATATCACAGATGATGCCCTTAACTGGGAAAGGTATATGAAAGACAAATGCTGTTCTTGTTTTTTAAGGAAATAAGCTGTGCTCCTTTTACTTTTTAAAAAATTCCCTTCTCTTTTCTGCCTTTCTTTTCTCTACTTGATTTCTCACTGTTACTCTCCTAAGGCACTCTTTAGAATGCCTATCTCTAAGGAGGTAATTTATACCAATTCACCATGTCTCATAACCTCGCACTAAAGTAAACGAACAACAAAAAAGACAACCCCAGATTTTCTAAGCAACATTTTGAAATTCTCAGAATTTGGAAGCCCAGGTACACAGAGCTCATCTCCTGGGGAGTGGGGGTGGGGGGGAAGGTATCACCAGTGGCATAGCGTGGGTTGTTAGCACCCGGGGCAAGGCAAGTAATTTGCGCCCCCTAACCCGTGGATTTGCGCCCCCTAACCCGTGGATTTGCGCCCCCTAACCTGTGGATTTGCCCTAACCCCAGATGTTGCGCCCGGTGCGGCCGGCCCCCCCTGCACCCCCCACGCTACGCCACTGGGTATCACTTCTGGTGATGGGTTAGGATGGGGTAGGGTGAGGGAGGGAGGGATAGACACCACTGGAAAGGCAATTTGGGGAATACTGGCATGCAAAGCTGCAGTATTCTTGACAGCATCAACACAGGAACATCCTCCACAAAGAATGTCACTCAGGACCGGCCCATTCAGAAGAGCATCAATAATGCAGGTCCCCAAGAACTTCAACACTTGTAGTTTATGCTGAGCCCTGAAAAGCCGTAGAACAAAATTTGGGGAATATGCTAAGAAATGCTAAATGCTGAGGAAGCTGAAATCATGCACCCAAGTGGATAATATTTGCACCCTATAATTTTGCGATTTCCCCACAAGTCCCAACCACTCCCGAGGGGTCGACTTTGGTAATATGGCACCCTGTACAAGGCCAAGATTTAACACACACATCCAACTTTCCTGTATCCTTCCCAAAGCTGGGCAAACGTTAACTATGCTTTGGGAAGGATAAAGGAGGACTTTAGGACCCTGTCAGAGCCCTCACACCTCCTTCCCAAAGTAAGTGCTTACAAGGCTTTGGGAAGGAGGCAGGAAGGTGCCCTCTCTGTTCGGCACCTTGTGTGTGAGGAACCAGCCATGCTGCCCTAAATCCGCCTCTGCATCCCCCCTGAATATTAAAAAACCCCACACTATTAGTGCCTTTTCTTGTCTAACAGACCCACAAATCTAGTTAGCTGAGCCAGATGCAAAGCTGTATCAAGAGGTGATGAATTGCAAAGGCTCATCATCACACTTCAAGGGAATCTGTAAGGTGAGCTGGGGAGGAGCAGAGCTTTCCTCCAAGCCCACCAAGGCCCAGCTTTCCTTCAGCAGGAGCACCTGTAGTGGGAAGATTATGAGGCTGCCCTCTTTATTCCTTTCTCAGCCTCTCTAGTAGGAAATGAGATTTGGAGGGAGTAGCATTACCTGGAATTTGTGACAAGTGAATGCAAAAGAGCACAAAAAGAGCCCTGCTGCACAAGGCCACCTAGTCCAGCATCCTGTTCTCCCAGTGGACACCCATGAGAAACCCTCAAACAGGACCCAAGCCCAGAAGCATGACTGCCTCTGATGGTGGAGGCAGAGCAGAGCCATCATGGCTAGCAGCCAATGACAGCCTTATGTTCCAAGAAAAGTGAGTTTTGGTACTCATGGTAATTTGTCTTAATAGCCACCTGATCAGGGGAAGGAGGGCTTTGTCTGACTCAGGAATCCAGCTGAGTGAGGTCCCCCAGTTTATTCCCATTACGTGCTACCTTGGCAAACACAATTAGATGAATGAGTTTACTTCTGTTTGGGGATAATGCAGACCTCTGACTATGTGGGTGCATTTAGCAGATGCTGTTTGTCATACAACCAAGTAAGAAATATGACAACAGTTCTTTTTTCCTATGCTTCCTCACTCTTATATATTTCAGTTTGTTTTAGTTTTGGACCAAGCAGAGCAAGAAGAACCAGATATTGGAGCATCGTGCTATCCTTAAAGTCTTTGAGATGATGTGCCTATTGACTCTATACATAGAAAGTGGTGGCTGATATGGTGGAAGGCAAGGAGACCAACCACAGGTAGAGCCAGAGCCAATGGCAGGCAGAGTCAACTAAGGGTTTGTCCACACTTCATCTTGTCCTGCCGCTTTCTCCCCAAGGAAAACAGCTCTGGAGCAAACAGAAATCTGGGTTTCCCCATGATTGTCATTTGTTCTATCACTAAAGAGTGGGTTTTCCCTTGGAAAGCAGTGGGGTAAAGGGGAAAACAGCTCATACTCATGCTTTCTGGGCATGGGAAAAGCAGAAGTGTAGACAAGTCCTAAATCTAGTTTTGTTCCCATTTTCCTCCTCCCTGCTGAGTTCTACAAGGGTAACGCTGAGACAGAGGAGAAGGTGGAAGAGGAGGTGTCATCCTCTGGACTGGAGGGTTAACTGAGACTAGTGAGGCAGTGCCCTATCTGCCCTAATGGAGCCGCCCCCACTGCAGTTGCTGGTGGTGACCAAGCAGTCTGCAGCTTCCCTTCCCTTGCCACAGATCCCAAGGGATGTTCCACACAAGAATTAAAGAGCATCCAGCAACTGGATATATCCCTGGCCTTCTGGCACTTAAAGTCACCCATGAGCAGAAATGGAAATAGATCAGAACCATCTGGCTTTGTTACATCTTGCATCCAGCTCAAAAACATCTCTTGAAAGGTAGCAACTGTATCTATGCTGAAGCCACCATGCACCTTGAAATCTTTTCATCGCATCAAGCATAGAATCCGGTCCCAAAAATAAAAGCAGGCAAGGCGCATTGTGACTCTAATGCCTTTAGTGGGAATTGGATGCCCAAACAGAGCCTTTATCTGGTGACACATGCCTGAAGGTGAGGCCGATGTGCAAGCCTGAGGCTGAGCAAACAGCATTTTCACCAAACAAAAATAAGACACCAGTGTGTGTCCTTTTCTTCCTCCAGGAGAGGACATTGATTCCCAGCCAAGTCAGTGGATCAATCTCCACCTGGGCCCACTGACAGCAAAGCAACAGCAACTCTGCACAGGTCCCAGAGTGCAACTGCTAGTCCAGGACACCAGGGGGTTGGGTGGGGGAGCAAGCACAGGCCAGCCAGACTCACAACCCCTGCCATTGAAGATAAGCAGCTCTGGCCAAAAACCACCCCACTCACCACCATGCTGCTGCGCACATAGCAGTCATAGTTCATGCTCACAGATAGTGCTGAGCTACCAGATGTTTTGCCCATCCCACCAGCCCCTCCATTTCTGCTCTTGACCGTCCTTCCTTAGGAAGGCTGCTTAATGGAAGGGAAAGGGCACATGGTGGACTTGTGGGTAGTCCTGCCCCTCTTGCGGTTGGAACAGTAAAATAAGCAGGTCAGTTGGGTGGGGTGGTGGGGAGGGGAGGGGGAGCCATAGCCTCCAACTCCCCCACCTCTCCAACTCCAGGGGTCCTCTGCCAGCTCTGTGGGGGGCAGGGGGGTGAAGCACCTTCCCTGAAGCTGAACCAGGCAAGTGGGTGCTTGACAAGACAAGAAGCACCCCTTTGAACTGGGGCTCTGCTCTCGACTCTGATTCATTCCCCAGATGTGGGGGTTGTCCAGGAGCTCTTTTCCAGAAGAGCATTCGCTGATGCCCTGGAAATGGGGTTTGGCAGAGAGGCAAAAGAGGTGAGAGTGGCAGCGGTGGCAGCAACAGCTCTAATAAGAAAGCAAGCGAGGAGGAAAGTGGGCGTCTTCAGCAGCTGGCTTATTTACTATGCGGTCTCCGTCTGTGTGTATAATTATGCCAGGATTCAGTCTGTACATCGAACTACTTGTTGTAAACATTTGGCAGGGATATACCCACAGAGAGAGTAGGACGGGTTTTCTTGCTGGAGACACAGCAAAAGGATGAGGTTGAGGGGATTCAAGAGGACAGCCAGGGGCATGCAGGGTGGAATGGAGAGAGAGAGAGAGAGAGAGAGAGAGAGAGAGAGAGAGAGAAGCTGGCTCGGGAGGAAAAGAGCTGTGTGTGTGTGTGTGTGTGTGTGTGTGTGTGTGTTTATGTGTGTGAGAGAGAGTGAGTTGGATAAATGACTGAATGGGAAGGTAGGCAAAGGGAGCCAACACACAGCAATGGGAAGGTGAATAAAGGCAGCAGAAAGAGCAGCTTCAGGGAAGAAATGCATCAGCAGACAAAAAGCAGAAATCACTGGATGCAGCAAGAGCCGCCCCCCCACCCCCACCCCCATGGCCAGGCCAGCCACAGTCCTCCAAGGCAGGTTGCTATTTTGTGTGCTCCTCAGTTGTAAGGAACAATCCTATGTACGCTACCCTCTGCAGGGAGGGGAAAGGTCATATCCTCCAGATGGATGGGCAGGCATTCTGCGTGGGCTAATGTGCCTGTGGTGGTCAATGGCAAGAGGGGAAGAGAAGAATGTGTCCTCTGCAAAGAACAGCAGCCTCATGCAAAGGCACAAAGTGAGAAGCAGTATGTTAGTGAGAGAGAGCACAGGCAGTCACACATGGGGGACCCCCCTACTATCCTATTTGTGTTGATAAATCAAAGTCATTGTACAAACTGATCACTTTCTGGCTAACCCCTTGCTTATTTCATCACCAAATAACACACCAGCAAGCCCCTGCTTTCTGAATCAGGTACTTCCTGGTACTATCTAAGGGCTAGCAGCCCGCACCAGCCCCACCACCCAGTGCCCATCTCTCCAAAGTCTGGACTCTCGGTAGACACACCACTGCTCTTGCTGTTCATTTGGCCCTGGAGCTGCCAGAGGACAGGGCAACTGAATCCTGGGTTGCTGGCTCATTCACCACACTGCCCATGGCAAAGCCAGAAGGGGCCTGGGACTTTCCTGAGATTTGCACCTGCTTTGGAACTTCCATTGTGAAGGTACAGACCTTTGCCCAGGCATCCATGCAGAACCACTTGAAGTCACTAGGCTCTTCTGTGTTTGCTGCTGAATGCAAAGCCTCCAGAATCCTGATAAGAAAACTGAATGGAGCAAAATGCTGCTGGAAAGTTCATCTGTTTCTGCTCAGCCTTTTCCAGTTTGCTACTGGGGCAGCAGGAGCAACCTCAGCTGGCACACTTGAGAGCCCAGCCATCCAACTCTCTCATCAGTCACCTGTGTGAAGCTGTGAAGTCTGGGCTGCTGCTGGTGCTGTTCTCTACTCCATCCTGGGTGACCCGGAGCTATTTTTAATTCCCTTGGAACCTGTCTGTGCTAAAGCTTAAGGTCATGGGCACATTCATCCCAAGACTTTCACACACACCCCTTCCCGTCTCTCCCGCCCCCCCAAATGCAGCCTCCAGAGGCCTGGCTCTCTTGTCCCCCCTCCCCCCCCACCTGCAGAGCTGCTGCTCCTTTCCTCTTCCACCCACTCTGCCTGTATCCTAACCAGCTTCGCCCACCCACCATCCCCTGCCCTTCAGCCTCTGCTCACCACAGCTCCCACCTATGGCTAAACCCTTCCTTCTCTGGCAGGGCGCAATGGTCCGGGGAGCCTGAGGCCCTCACAGTTCTCACCACAAATCTCAGCGGTCTCCAAATCCCAAGACAGGGAACGTTTCTGGGCTGGGGAGGGGGCGGAAAGCGCCAGGGCAGGCGGTGGGCTCAGTGGCGTCATCCACTTCCTGCCTTTGCCTGTTCGGCGTAGCCCTCCAGAGTCGTCCTCCCTGCGAGGCGGCTCCTTCCTCCATGCAGCCCGGGGCTATACTGACTGAGAAGAACCGAGAAACACTCCCTCCCCGTCCTTTGCAGCAACACATTAATCAGCCGTACCCAGAGGGCTGTCCGGCTGGGGAGACGCAGAGCGTCCTGGAAGCTGCGGGCGGGCAGGCGAGGGGGTGGCATCCACTCCTGGGCAATCCAGACAGTCCCCCTCACCAGCCAGCGGGCCTGCCTTTGGAATGAGGGGCGGGCGAGACCCACTGCATGCGTTCATCTCCTCCCTGGATAAGCCACTGCCGCCACAGTCAGCTTCCCGCCACCTGAGACAGAAGCGCCAGACGCTCGGGGGCGCAAAGGCAGGTCCACCGGGCCCTTGGAAAAAGCGTCAGCCAGGAAGATAAAGACGCGCCTCCCATTCAGGACCGTGGACAGCGCCGCGCCACACGCGCAGAGACCCTCCCAGTCTCCCTTGCAGAATTGGCGGGGCCCCTGCTTTTTGCTAGAAACCCTCAGCAGCTCGACCCCCAGACTAGCCGACGCGCGTAAATCCAAGGCTTGTAGCGCTACGCCTCATATGCCAACCAAGGAAAGGAACGGATAAAGCGGCTGCCGCGCGCCTTTGTCCTCTGTGCTAACTCGTTTTAGCAAAAGGCCGGCAATGTGCGTTTTGCAGGCTACGCTGGGGCCACGTCAAGCTCCAGAATATTTGCAGGGCCGCCCGCAGGAGCGGGTAAAGAGCCGGCCTTTGTGTGTCCCCCCGCGCCCCTGCCACACACAACCTCTCTTTCCCCGACCCCTCCCCAGTTCCCAGATTGATCTCCTCCTTTGCAACTTTGCTGGGCGTTTGCTGCTTGCGCTGCACAGCGGGAGAGCAGAGAGGGGCCGCAAGCCAGGATTCTGCTCGCCTTTTGGCTTCGGGACCGGGAGAGCCAGATAGTCACCGCACTCGAACGCTTCTCCCAGGGCCACCCCTTAGCTCTGCCGAGGAACCCACGAGCCCACTCCCACGCAGAGGAGGAGCAAATAAAGGCGCTCCCGCTCGGTGGCGAGGCTAGGAAGAGCTCCGACGGCTGCTTGCAAGCGGGTGGCTTATCCCCCGCGACCCTCGACACCAGCCCCATCCCAACCCCGAAGAGCAAACAGCCGAGGGCCAGGTCCTTACCTCCTGCGGAGCTGCTGCTGGATCCAGAAACCTACTGGGGCGGCACTCGCGGCTGCTCTCTCTCAGTCCTGCCTTTGCGCCCCCGAGAGTCTGGCGCTTCTGTCTCGGGTGACGAGGAGCAGACTGTGGCAGCGGCTGATCCAGCGGTGGACAGATCCAGAGGAGGAGATGAACGCATTTAAACCTTGGGTGTTTCGGCTGACGCGCGAACCTCGTGGTCTCTCCGTCTTCCAGAGGGTTGCAAGATCAGCCTTCTATAGCCACTCTCTGCTCGCTGTTACCCTGAGACTGACAATATGAAGGAAAGCAAGGCAGCCTCCTCCCTCCCCTCCTCCTCCTTGGAGGAGGGTTTAGCAATACTGTATCTCCCTCCCGTCTTCCCCAAAAGCAACAAACAGAAAAGGCGCATCAATGGCGCACCATCTACTGACTAGAAGTGAAGCATGGGGAGGGTCTTCTTTCCAACCGCTCTTTTTTCTGCCCACACCGCTAGAGGCAGGCGGCTAGCCTCATGGTGGGTACTGCATGGCCCACCTGGGACCTCCGTAGACGAGAGAGATCAGCAGGGGTGTCTGAGCCAGTCCTTCCAACAGGTTCCTTCACCGTTTCACAGTGCCCACTGGTAGACCCTGAAGTGTCAGCCAGACCCCACAGACCACCTTATCTTCTATAAAGGAGAAGCCACTTGTTGCCCAAAGGCCTGGTGGATGGGGAAAATCTGCCTTGAACATGGGTGTGTGTGCAGAAGCAGGACAAATAGAAATGAATGCTATTAAAAGCAGGGCCAGATAGAGGCAGGGTGTGGACTGATGAAAGAGCAATCAGTGGTGCAGGGAAGAGGGGAACTGCTGGAGGAGGCTGTGGACTGCCCTGGTGGGCAGTATCAGGGTGGCTGTGGCTGCAGTCTGTGAGAACATAAGAAGAGCCTGGCTGATGGATGAGGCTAAAGTTCTCACAGTGGTGCCCCCAAGGGAGGTCCACAAACTAGATCTGAGGGCAGCAGCCACTCTCTCCCCAAGATCCAAGCTAGAGCAAAAGCAGCAGCTTCCACTGGAAAGGCTGAGCTGACAGGAGGATACAATGCAAGGAAAGGCCAAGGCCTTCATGCAAATCAAACAGAGCAAGATTGTATACCGTGCTTTGTTGCCTAATCTCAAAAACAGCATTTTAGAGCTTGCTTCTCTCAAAACACTGGAACATGGACAACCAACAGAGGAGGGTAAAGTCAACAATAGTAGCCACCCAATATCAGTTGCCTGGGAGCAAGATCAAGAGCAGAAGTGGAGAATTGTACTCATTTCCTCATAGGCTTCACACTGGGACACATGGCTGGCTAGTGTGAGGACTGGGTGCTGGATTTAAATGGACCCGCTTTGATCAGACTCATGGTTCTTCTTGTGTTCTTAAGGAGTTGTGAGAGCCAACCAAAGGAGAAGCTTCAGATCTTATCATAGGCAGAGCTTGGCAACAGTCAGCATATTGTTAGATGACAATGTTTACATGGGTGGGAAGATGGCCCCATCAGCCATGTTTAACTCCAAACAGTGGAATTTCTAGAGAGAGGCTGCTGAATGTAAAAACAGAGCAGAAGCAGAAGGAAAACATAAAAAGGCTGCACATAGGGGCTCACAGCAGCACCAAGTCGACCATGACATGCACTAAGGCTTCATCCACCCTAATTGCTCTTTCCTGAAATCAGCAAAACTTAATGGAACCTGAAATAAGGCAGCCTAAGAAATTTCAAATGACTTTGCTGTAAAGAGCAACAACTAAAAAAATCTTAACCATATCAGACACAGAAGATGTTGGGGGAATGAGGAAAGTGGACTTATATTAATGCTGATACCTATGGGAAAGGAAGGTTCCCCTCTCCCGCCTCAGCTCCTTCCTCACAAGGAGCTGAGCCACACCTCAGTCATTTCTGCATGGGTTTCCCACCTCAGCAGAACCAAAGCAGGGAGATGGCAAAGAACAAGGTATCAGCAAACTAGGCCGAGTTGGGTGCCTGGGTCACTGACATTTGTTCAAGAGTTGAGCCCTTAAAGAACTCAAAAGTGAAATACCACAGTCATAGAAATACCCAGTGCAGCATTAAAACCAGACTCTATCTTGGGTTCCTGGAGGATGATCAATAGGAGTCTTCCCAGGGTGTTTGGTTTGAGGACAGCATTGGGGTAACCAGCCTGAACATAAATATGGTCACAGAGGGCAGCAATGAATGGTGCTCAGTGACCTCTTTGAGAGGGGGTACTTTTTAGCCTGGCCACCTGATGTGTCCCTTGAGCACCTAGTGGATTTCCTTCCATCCACAACAGATTAAGTGTCAGATTGAACAGAGACAGAAACTGCAACTTCTCTACATAATGGCAAAAAAGAGATCAGAGTTGGTTTAGGGATCCCAAAATGTTAGATGGGCCTCACTGACCAGCCCCAGATCCCTTTATCTGTCTGTCATCCAGTGTCCTCTGCTTGGGTAGAAGTATGTCCTTCTCCACCCCATGTGGAAATGTATTTGGATCTTGGGGTATGGAAAGCCCTCCACCCCTGAGAATGCAAAAACAAACAAACAAAAAAACAACAACACCCAACACAGCAAAGGCTTTTGTCAGCCACCCATCCTGCTTTCCTGCCAGGTGTGGGAAGTGGGGACTTTAAATATGCTTGGCCGTGCACACCCCTCTCTTGGCTGAATGTAGTCTTTGCCACAGATGGTCCCTAGGTGCACTCCTGCTGCCTGCCCTGAAATGCTCTCCAATCAACTGCAAAATAATTGCCTTTCCTTGGCAGATGCAAGGCACAGGAGACTCATCACAGCATCTGTGCCAGTCCCCAAGGGGCCAGCAGTGCAGATGCAAGGGTCAAGCTCTCCCCTGGGCCCAGAGATAGATGCTACTGAAGTTGAGCACAGCAGCACTGGAAAACCTCTTGGAGGCAACAGCCCCTGAGGTCAGCTTTGCCATGTGCAGGTTTCTGCAGGATAACAGTCTCCTGGGATTACCATAGGCCATGAGAAACTGAGCAGGGCCCATAAGGGAAAATAGCAGCATGTGCACACACAATGCAGGGCTCCTCTGAAAGCAGCAGTGGTGGCAGGGGGAAGAAGCACCTGGCCCAAATGATGTAGTGCAGCCAAAGGCACCAAACTCAGCCCCATAGCTATGCCTAAGCTGGGACTGGAAAGAATTGGGATGGGGAATTGCAAGGAAATCCCTCCATTTGAATTATATTGCATATATCCTGTTCCACATTATCAGTTCCCATAAGTGTACCCATGGGGCAAAGGATAGATTTGTCCCAAGGAGCAGATTAACTCCTCCCCAATCCTTTCGCTAAAGGTCTGTGGGGTTCAGGGTAGGGGTGGGTGGGGATCCTATTTCCTTTCAGGGATCATAAAAAGCCTATAGCTTTCCATTTTTTCCAGGGACAGGTCTCGTTTTTTTCAGGAGGGGTCTTTTTCTTTTTTTACTTACAGACAGTGGGACATCCCTACTCTTTTAGAGAAACATTTACAGAGAGCCACCTAGACCCAGATTGACATTCCTTCCCTGCTAGATAAAATTAGCAATGGTGGTGGAAAGGCTTGAGCCTACAGGTAAAGCACCTTGTCCAAATCAAGGAGGGAGAAAGGTTGTTTTCTGCTGCTCCAGAGAAGCGGACACAGAGCAAACTACAAGAAAGCTACAAGAAAGAAGATTCCACCTAAACATTAGAAAGAACTTCCTGACAGTAAGAGCTGTTCGACAGTGGAATTTGCTGCCAAGGAGTGTGGTGGAGTCTCCTTCTTTGGAGGTCTTTAAGCAGAGGCTTGACAACCATATGTCAGGAGTGCTCTGATGATGTTTCCTGCTTGGCAGGGGGTTGGACTCGATGGCCCTTGTGGTCTATTCCAACTCTATGATTCTATGATTCTAAGACAATGTCCCAGGCCAGTAGATGATGCAAGCTGTGCTCCTAGTTCCCCTTGGCCCAGGAATGTGCCAGTGACTTTCCTGCCCTTTGCACCCGCTCGGATTGTGGGCCATGACTGGGTTGTGGGCAATGGAGACTTCTTCTGGGTGGAGCAGCTCCTCAGAACTCCACAGCTGGCTGGCTGGCTGGCTGCCACTATGGAGTCAAGGACAATGTTCCACATACATGGGGAAGGCAAATCTTAGATTTGTAAACCATGTGAGAGCCACCCATGAAATAATGTCAGAACCCCAGATAGTGCT